ATCCCCGAGAGATCCCGAACGACGAGGACTATAAATATACGAAGCCCAAGTGCTGCCTCCTTCTTTCTTTCTTTCTTTCTCCCGCGTCTTGCATCAAGCCGAGAGAGAGAAAGAGACTATGCACGCGAGAGAAGGCCCTCCGCGATTCTCCGCAGCTCTTTCGTTCTTTCCTCCTTCCCGCTCGGCATCGGAGTATCAAGGTCACCCGGACTCTACATGCCCTCTACCCGCTGCCCACTTGTACGCGGACGCGCGATGGCCCCCTCGCAGGTACACGGCGAGTCTTTTGGCTTGTAATTAATCCACGGTTTACATATATATTATATGCACCGGCCGTGCGTGCACGTATATATATATATAGCGTTATATCGGCACCTATAATGATATTAATTTCCACGCGGCTATCGCGATGCCTATACACTATACGCGCGAAAACGTACGTGCAAAAATCCACGAGTGCATGCACACGCGTGTGTTTATATATCTGTATGCATAGGCATTCATCAGACAAGCGAGGCGCACACGAGAAGGGGCCCAGAGGAATGTCCTCCGTATAGAAACGGTGTCGCGGTGTGCTGAGCCCCCGAGAAAAGAGCCGAGAATAGCCTAGCCAGTTTGCATACGTATATATATATATACACACGTGTGTATGGCAAAAGAGCGATCGAGAGCACGAGGAAAGGCCGCCACGTACCTGTATTATACACCGTCGCTGCTCCTCTGCTCTCTCCCATAGGGCCCTTTCGGTACCTCGAAAATACGCTACAACAACTACTCGGCCGCAAACATAACTCAGCTCCCTGACAAATGTTCCGCCGGGACATTCTTCAGGATTCCTCGCTCCTTCTTTCTTGCTTCTCCTCCTTTCCGAGGAGAGACCCCCCCCCTCCCTATATATACGTGTACCCGTGGCATAGATGCCCCTTCCAGCGTTTGAGATCGTGAATCGGTCGCTCCTTAAAAAATTAATAGCGAGAGAGCCCTCTTCCCTCGATCCGAGGCAATTTCGAAACCCCGCCGCCGTCTCGAGGAGTGCCGCCGCCACTGTACGTCTATATATGATATATATATACTCTTGCTCGGGACTCTGGGTATATAACTCCGTGTGTCAAACGCTCCTAAAATTTTGATCGAGCCCCGCGATCGGTGAAAGCCAGCCCCTCGATCTCTCGAAATTGGGTGCCGAATGTCAAATTGACTCGCCTCCCCCTCCCCCTGGGTTTTCTCCTCCGCTGGCTGCGCTCTTCCCACCGTCCGTCCGTCCGATTGAGACATTCGATTCCGATGAACCTGTCGGTTCGCGCCAAAGAATTCGTCATCATCTCTCGCGCAGACACGGGCTTACATATACACTGTACGCGTATACTCTTGGGAAAACAATAATCAATCGGATATATTATACACGCAACGGTGGCGCATTTATTCAATCGGCAGCTAATTACGATACAGCTCTCGTTTGTTACGACCGAGCATATATAATAATAAGTATAACGATGGCGAAACAATGCAAGTGTGGCACAACACCACGTATATACACCCCGGCACGCTTTTATGTATACCTTATACCCGTTGTGTGTGTGTAAAGAGAGCGTATGATATTATATAGTGAGAGGAAAATGCTAACCATGGGCCATTAATCGTGTCAACTAAGAGCGCGTGTCGTTGTTTTTTTTTTTAATTGCAGGGTGCGTTCTCACTGATCGTCGAAGCCTTCCACGACACGGACGACGTCACGCACGTTGCCAGAGGTAAGTCGCTTTTATTTACTTGCCACCTATACATTCATATGTTAAGTATATCAACCAACTTGTGTTGTGTTATACATGTACGTCACAATCAATGAGTCGGTCGGTTGATCGGTTCACTTGTCATTCACCCCCGATGCTACAAGTTATATTATATACAGTGCACGCTATACTGATGATGCTGTAATAATGCTTTGACCGTCTTTCTTTCACGTCACACTGGCAGTCGCGTCCCGACAGCGGATGGCATTGCCCTACATACACATGTGTGTACGACCAACCACCAACGCACGTGCGCGGTACAATATTTATGTGTGCACAACACGCGGCGAAGGAAAGAGCATCATGCGTGTGTGTGTATATGTAGTGTGACGTGCGTGGGTGACGATATATGTATCATATTTACCTAATGTATACCTATATACACACACGTGTAGGGTAGACCGACGCATGTGTATATATATATATAAAATTATATATACAACAACCGGCAGCCGCTAGTGTTTCCTTCCTGTGTAGTGTTTCGCGCGAGTTTATGTATATATATATAGGTACAGCCTACCCCGTGGGTAACACGAGAACCCGGTACCTCCTTCCTTCCCCTCCACCTCCCTTTTTTTTTCTGCTCCTCGGCCTCATCCTCCCCGTTACGGCGTGTACCTATATAATGTAACACATACCTACATGCACCGGCGTGCACTGCATCCGACAATTGCCCACCGGCCAAATCAAATCTCTTGTGTATAGGTATATACACCGGCCAACATTCATCGTCATGAGGGAATCATATAGAGAAGAAGAGGAAACGGGGGTGCGCGTATACACATATAGCCGGGAGGACCCACTTGTTTTCGGCAACTTGTCCATTCACGCGGGCTGCGCATTCCGCGGTCCAGGGCCTCTTCGCGCCGCGTCTTCTTCTCCGGTGCGTTTCGGGTTCTCGCTTCCCTTTCCGAACGGCAGCACGTAAACGTGAGAACGCTCCTTCCCGCAGGCGCGACACGTGCTCCCATTCTCTTCCTCCCTCTCTCGATCAGCTGATCAGCCGTGTGTGTATATATACGCACACCCCGTAGGCCATATAGCCCCGCTGCGTGTCTCATTATTACCCCCTCAATTAGGAGCGCCCCGAGCCCTACGTGGACTTTTTGCCTCCTCACCCCGGGAGTGAGTTTTTGTTGTTGCGTCGGGTTTTACGACTCGAGCAAGGGAAAAGAGAGAGCGCCGGCCGCTACTGCACCTCGCTCGGCGTGCCTCGTTTTCCGCTCGATCGAGCGCGACGCGAGCTTTTCTGCCCATCCAGAGTCCGAGGGAGCTTTCGTCGTGGGCGCGGTTTCCTCCCCCTCCCCCCCCTACGTTAAATGCGCAAAATCACGCGGACAGGCTAATAACGCGATGTACATCGAACCGCGTGGGAACCGCGAGCGATGTTTTGCGGGCGGATGTGTATGTATACATCTCGGTGTGTTTTTTCTTATTATTATACATATATATGTACGAGCTGCTTTTATATCCCGTCCCTAATTTTTTTATTCTCGCCCTTCGTTCCTACGTATACATGGGTTCTCCGTGGGGGGACGTGCATTGTTCCTCTCCTCATATATATATGCAGGCTGGCGTTGCATGCCGGTGGACTTTTTCAGCTTCTTGTCGGCTTAATTCCGATCTCTGTAATAAATTAGCGGGCGATCACGGTGGCATTTGTCTCCTCTGTAATTTATCTCCTCCCCCTTCGGCGACGACGACTACTTTCTTTCAGCAGCGTGTGATGGTGTTGTTGTCCTTGCGGGAGTATACACTTATGGGGATACGTATATATATATATATACACGTGTGTATGGCAAAAGAGCGATCGAGAGCACGAGGAAAGGCCGCCACGTACCTGTATTATACACCGTCGCTGCTCCTCTGCTCTNTTTTTTTTTTTTTTTTTTTTTTTTTTTTTTTTTTTTTTTTTTTTTTTTTTTTTTCTCTCGATCTCTTGGGATACTCTATCCCTCAACTAGCGAAATGTCACGTTAAGCGCACTGCCTATGATATACCCACACGTCGCATTGCAACACGTACACCAGCTCCACTGCACTTTGACTTTGTGTACAGCCAAAGAATCACATGGAAATGAGCGACGATCGGTAATTTCTGTTACGGTTCGATTACATCATCCGGCGGATCATGGATGAATCATAATGAGGGCCAAAGGGGAGGGGGGTAATCGACGAAGTCATGGCTGCGGTTACATTGTACCGATTATGAATCGAGAGAGAAAGAGGGTAAACAAGGATCCGGCTCGCGGCTAATCGTGATCATCATCATTTGCTCCGGTGTTTTTTTTTTCATCATCCTCCCTATATTTGCATCATACGCTATTCAGCTAAAAGTATAGGAGGAGGAGGTTTCGCTCTCTCTGATGGATTCCCATCGCGTTCGCACGCCGCTACCACGCACAGCTCTCGTACGCGCGAATACATGATCGCGCGCGCGCACGCACACATGTTTTTGTTCCCCGAAATCGTCCGTGACGCGGAAACGCGCGACAAGTCGGGACGTGCTCGATGTAAATTCATCGCCTCTTTCTCGGCCTGCCCAGCCCCCGAGCACCATCACCATCCACCACTGGTGTATACATATATATATATGTATAAGTACGACGAGCGACAGCAGCGTGGGATCGGTCCCATTCAAATTCACGCGAGAGAGAATTCCGCAATTCTCCTCCATCCCCCGTTTCCCCTCCTTGGCAGCCTTGCCTCGCGCGTGTGTCTGCCATGCACAGAGAGAGTATCCCATAGACACACACACACACACACACAAGTATGCGCTCCTCTTGCTCTCCTCCACCCATCACGTTCATTACCCATACTTTTATCGTCATACCTATATATACCATACATTTGGTACTTACCTATACCCGTATACGCGCGAAACGTCCGTTTTTGGTCAATCGTGTCGCCCTTTGCCCCCCTCCCCCCCTCAACATTAACCGTATGGCTCAACCCTTTATTCGTTATACCGGTCGCTGAGTTAACCGATTCTACGCCTATATAACTATACTAGTCTGTACATATAACGTACATATACACCGCGAACTTTTATTATATTCGCGTGCGTCGTCGTTTACTCTCTGCAATAAGTATACACTTGTATTCGCGCCCCGCGCTCTCAAGTAAAGTGCCATGCCACAATTATAATTATTATACCGGTGGCTGTGCGCGCACACAATACCCACACGCACAAAAGTACTTTTACCGCATTACCATGGCACCACCACCACCACCACCAAAGCTCCTGCTGTGATGTGTACATATATGTACGCCTGCATGGAATACCGATTACTAACTTGTGCTAAAGCAGTGTATATAAGTACCGTGTATATATTATATACGCGCTCCCTGCGATGCAGCTTCGAATTCCAATCCCCAACGTGTATATATAGATTATTGTGTGTACATACACATAACGATATCTATCTATCCGCTCTTTAATCTACCATCTCCTGGATATTTTAAAGAAAGCTCGGCTTCGGCGTATTGAAAAATTTATCAAGCCTCGTGCACTTGCTGCCGATGGCTATACGTACTCGTGTACCCTGAATAGAAATATCAGTCTCTCCCGCGACTGCATTGAATTGATTCCTTTTTCCTTTTTTTTTCTCCCCCCCCCCCTCTTACTAGTGGAATAGGTGCTTACGTGTGTGCACACAATATATACTTTAGCCGAGATGTTGCATCAAACGAGCGGTAAAAGCTTTGGTCGCGCGCGCGTGTATCTTATGTACATGATGCTTAAATGATGATTTGTGTACGGATCAATTGAAATGTTATCGATGAACAGTAATGATCACGTCAAAAAATAAAAAAAAAGGAAGGGGAGATGGTGACAACGACGCCCCTGTACGCAAATTAGGACAAGAGCTGTTTGATCCGAGTGGCAGGTGTAAATAAAATAAAATCAACATCTCCATTGAATTTGATAACAACATTACGAGAGCACGCGATACAGGAGGAGGAGGAGAAGTGGCGCAGCGCATAAATCTACATAAATCCGCAATAAATACGCCGATCCACGACCGCAGAGTTACACAGCGCAAGGGGGGCGGGCGTGAGTGTTTTATAACAAGCTCATCCGAAACTACATGTGCGGTCAAGCAGCTTACGTATACCTACACACAGCCACGCCGCCGCGGCTAATCCAAAAAATAGTGTCGGTATATTATACGTGCACAGTTTGAGTAATCCTCGCGGGGGAATACATACACAATATATATACACATCTCACCACCGCGGTGGCGACGGCTTCCTTCCGTTTGTCCGCCCCCCCTTCCCCCTCTGCGTTTATCCCGCGTATAACCTCCCTTTGCTGGAAAAAGAGCGCGGCTTTGGAATCTCTTATTCATTCTTCTCTCGGTATACAATATGTACACATCCGCGTGTGTCCTGTACGGTACACATACGTATACGTGTATGGATTGCACACAGCATCCAGCCGCGAGAAGAAAGGTATACATATAAGTATAGGCTCCTCTCTTTCTCTCGCGGATTCTCCCTCCCCCACCGGCCGGTTGGCGCGCCGCTTTGTGTATACACGTACACATGGGATTCAATGGTACCTGTATATAACGATGGGACGCGGAGGTGGAGGAGGGACCCACAAAGTGTGGTGGTGGTGGTGGTGTTCCTCTCTCGGTGTGTCCGTGCATCAGGAGTATAAAATATATATATGGGATGTACAGCTTGCACGCGTGTGTCAGCTGTAGTAATGTACCCACACACTCTCTCTTTCGCGAGAGCCGGCAGGAGCAGGAGCACCGACAAAGGTAGCAGGAGCAGGAGCGAGAGGGAGAGCACACACGCAGACGTGTATATATGTATATATATGTATATCCTTATACGCGGACGGGACGAGAGAGAGAGAGGAGCGTAACCTTTCCTTGACCCGCATACTGAACGGCTCTCCGCTGCTGCCTGGCTCTTTTGCCTGCCGTGCTGCTCCTGCGCTGGCTGGCTGGCTCAAGCGCTCGAACCGTGGGAACACTACTCACCGACTCATCCCCCCTCCTTCCCTCTCACTCTCCTCCCCCTCTCGCTGTTTTCCTTTTCTCTCTTTTTCGCCCAGCAGTCCCAGGCAGCAACGCTCCTCTCTCTCTCTCTCTCTCACCTCTTTCGCTCTTTCCCCCTGCCCCCTCCCCCCCTCTCTCTCTCTCTCTTTGGCTCTCTTGCTGGGTCCGCGTGGACAAAGTAATGGCCGACCACCACATCCTCTCTCTCTCTCTCTCTGTCCGCTCCGTGCTCCTCGTGTTGTAGGTATCCGCCGCACCCGCTGCCGCTCTTCAGCTGCTGCTGCTGCTGCTTTATCCTTTTTATTCTCTCGTGCAGGACCCTCGGGCGAGCCTATATATACATAACACACGCATACCTACATAATTACGTACACATAAAACACGATGATTTCCCCCGATGTGACGATTTTCATATAGCTAATACGAGCCATCGTCGCTCCTTTTGTTGTGTTGTGCTATTGTAGATGCCACCAAGGCTGGACGGGACGCCACTGCGACCAGTGCATCCGGTATCCGGGCTGTCTCCACGGCACCTGCCAAAAGCCCTGGCAGTGCATCTGCGACGAGGGCTGGGGTGGCCTCTTCTGCAACCAGGATCTCAATTTTTGTACCAATCACAAGCCGTGCCACAACGGCGGCACCTGCTTCAACACCGGCCAGGGCTCGTACACGTGCTCGTGCGCCCCCGGCTTCGCCGGCACCGATTGCAAGGAGCCCCTGCTCGACTGCACCGCCGAGCCGTGCATGAACAACGGCACCTGTCTACCCTACGTCGCGCCCAACGCCACCGCCAACAACGCGGATCCTAGTGCCGTGGCCATTGTGCCCCTCGACAATTCAGGATCGTCGCCCGGCAAGGACGGCCAGCAGCAGCAGCAGCAGCAACTCGAGACGATCGAGCGCAAGTACCGCTGCACGTGTCCGGCCGGCTGGAGGGGCAAACACTGCGAGATCAGCTCGAAATCGTGCAAGGATCAGCCGTGCGCCCGGGGCGCCACCTGCGAGGACGACAGCGAGCGCGGCTACAGTTGCCATTGCCCGGCCGGCTTCACCGGGCCCGACTGCGACCGGCCCATCGACGAGTGTGCCCCGAATCCCTGCGCCAACGGAGCCACCTGCACCGATCTCCTGGCCGGCTTCAAGTGCCACTGCCCGGCCGGCTTCACCGGCGAGCGCTGTCAGATCAACGTCGACGACTGCCAGGGCAATCCCTGCCTGAACGGCGGAACCTGCATCGACCACGTAAACAGCTTTCGCTGCCAGTGCGTTGCCGGCTACGTCGGCTGGCTCTGCCAGGACAAGGTCGACTACTGCGTGACCAAGCCCTGCGCCAACGGAGGCTCCTGTCTGTCGACCACCAACGACTACCAGTGCGTCTGCCGGCCCGGCTTCGCCGGCAAGGATTGCAGCGTCGACGTCGACGAGTGCAAAAGCTCGCCCTGCCAACACGGTGGCACCTGCCGCAACCGCGTCAACGGCTTCAGTTGCGACTGCACCGACGGATGGCGGGGCGAGACTTGCGCCGAGTCCTCGGCGAGGCCCGGCTCGGCCGGCTACTGGTCCGCCGCCCGGCCACCGTCCTCGGCCACCCAAACCAACAACCGGCCGGTCGCCGCGGGCCCCGAGGCACAACACGCCGCCCTCACGACCGAGCACGTTGTCGTCATAGCCACCATCTCGACGGCCGTGCCGGCTTTCGTCCTCGTGGCCGCTCTGGCCGTCATGTGCATGAAACGCCGGCAGAAGCGCGAGCAGGCCAAGGCCGATGAGGAGGCGCGCCTGCAGAACGAGCGCAACGCCGTGCACAGCAGTATGAGCAAGCGCGCGGGCGCGCTATTGTCGCCGCAGCTCGAGCCGGTCCAGTCGGCCGGTGACAGCCACATGATCAAAAACACGTGGACGGGCCAGCCGGGCTGCGGTCAAACAGCCATCAACCAGGCGAAGAGCGTCAACAACGCGATGGCCTCGGTGGACGGGTCGTTCGATGGCTCGCTGCACGAGGCGTACGGTAAACAGCAGCAGCAACAGTTGCAGCAACAGTCGCAGCAATCGGCCGACTCGCAGTTGCCGGAAATCTCGCGGCCGCGGCCGACCAAGCAGTTGAACACGGAGGCGGCGGCGCATCGGGCCTCCCAGCATCTCTACCAAAAGGATAAGGACTGTCTGCTGGGTGGCTTGGCGTCCTCGTGCCACCAGCTGATGGACTCGAAACGCTCGTCGAGCTTGTTTTCGGCGCCAGCCTCGGAGCCCGGCTGCTGCTCCGGCTCGTCGTGCTCGGACCTCAAGAGGCCAAACACGAGCATATCGGAGCAGGGCCCGCCGGACGATCAGATGTCGACGCAGGGCTCGGACACGCCCGGCTGCGGGGTCTACGTCATCGACGACCACTACAGGCACGACACGGCGACGCTCGCCTCGACCCTCGCCACCGAGGTCTAGCGAACAGCGGTAGTTTAGACGATCATCCAGATGATGATGATGATGATGACGACTTCACCAAAGCCGCCCACGAGCCGGCATGTGTGTTGTTGTTGTTATTGTTGTTGTTATTGTTGTTGCCTGTTGTACGTAGACTTTTACCTTACTCCCCCTCGGACTATTATAATATGTATATCAATGGATGCTGTGTCGGCGGTACCACGCGGGCGTAAGCGCCGCGGGCCGCCTCCTGTCTTTATTAGCTATTAAATAGATACGATGCAAGCTCGATGCAAGCGCCTTGTACAGAACTAATTTATTATTGTTATTTTCTATTACTATTATTATTATTATTATTATTATTAATAATAATATGATTATCATAGTATATATGATTATATTATTTTTTGTATTAGTTGTAATTTTTTTTTTTCTTTTTTTTTTTTTACGATAGTTCCATTATCGTGTACGATTATCAGTAACTAATACTGTAAGTTTGTCGCTCCCCGAAGTGATCAGAGATTCTCAACGTCGACGAGATAACTATAACACAATATTAAACTCGTCCTACTGCATTTGCGAAACACATTATGTTTGAGTAATTTTTTGAGTACTGCCCGGGAGAGCATCTGTTTCGCGTGCGTATTATATATATAAATTATATATATATGTGTGTGTGTGTGTCTGGGTATACACGTTTTTGTATAGTTTCATGTGTGCATGTCGTACGTATACGTAGTTATAAGCATGTGTCCGTCTGCCTGACTGCGTGTGGTGTGTGTGTATGTGTTGATGTTGAAAACATTGGACGCGAAAGAGAAAGGAGCACAGCTAGAAAGTGACTGCGTCGTGTATTGGTGTACATACATGCGCACGCGTTCGTATAATATCCGTCGAAGGGACGCGGACTCGAGAGCAACGGGTTGTAATATTCCGATTAAGAAAAAAAAAAAAAAAAAAAAAAAACTGGCTGTTTATCGACAGGGGCGAGATTAGGGCACCGCTGCCCCCTCCCCCGCGCGCAAAAGCGATCTTTTTGTAATTTTCATCCGTACCCGCCTTGAAGAGAGCACCGATGAAAATTATACAAAAGGTCGGACCGATCGACCGACGAGCGAGCTTTTCCGGCTCTTATAGAGTCATCGTCGTCTCAACACGCGAGAGAAGACGCGGCAAACTGGAATCGACAAAGTCGAGCCCACACGATGCATTTCTTTCGCGGTTAACGCCGCCGAGCGCCCGCCACTCGCACGGGTTCCCTTTTTTTTTTCTCTCTCTCTCTCTCTCCTACCGGGAGTCTGCTCTTCTCCTCTTTACCGAGTTCATTGGCAGTCTGTCGGGGACGATAGCGAGCCTAAAAATACGCTCTCGAGAGCCCGCTCCTGGTGTTTTCAGGAACGCGCCCTCGTCCCGGACAAGAGCCGTCGTCTACACACGCACGTCAAGGCCCGTTGCCGGAAAAGAGCAGAGTCGAAAGAAAGAGAGAGAGAAAACACAGGGAACGCCTGCCATATTATACATAAACTCGCCGGCGCTTACCCGCGAAATCAAATCAAAGGAATCGATCCAGCCACCTCTTCTCTCTCTGTCCCCCAAACTCCCCGATCAACGTAATAGTGTATCAAGTAGTTTCGCTCAGAACGATCTCGCTTTTTTTTTTGTATGTTGTTTTTTCCTTCTTTTTTTTTCGTGCGTGCGCGAATGAGAAAAAGAGCGTGCAACGTTTTACCGGCTCGGTTTCCTTCCTCCCTTCGTCAGGATTATAAGTCGGTGGCTCATGTATGGAGCGGCGACTTCTCGATTTGATACGTATACACTGCCAACGCGCGCCAGCAACGGATTCCAAAGTCCGGCATTATTATGCTATTTTCCGATTGATTTCTACTGCATGTTTAATCAAAGTATATTGAAGCGTATGGTGGTTGCGCTACCGGCAAGCTCGCGACTGTATAGTTTATTTTTTTTCTCCACCCTCCTCCCCTAACACACACACACACACTTGTTTTTGCATTGTTTTCAAAATTTAGTTGACAAATTTTTTTTTTCCCCTCAACTCGCATGACCTCGAGATGTGTAATTATAATGGGCTTGCTGGTGGTCGCGCGACCAAATTGTATATGACGAATGACGAATGTTTTGTTATTGTGCGATTTTTCGATGCGTAACTATTTATTTATAATGATAATAATGATAAATTGTTGGTGATAATAATGATCATGACGACGTTAGCTGATATGGAATATCGGACAACGATAATCGGCGAGTAATTAAATTAAAAAAATAATAGAGTTTAAACAATGAAGTATAAAAATACAGAGCGACTATGTCGACGACGACGACAAAGACGATGGCGAGAATCATGAAGATATAACGATGATGAAGCACAAGATTCATTAATGTTCCTCTTAAGATATTAATAAATATAAAAGTCAGACTTGGGACCGGAGCTAGCGTCTGCACTCTGTCGATCCAAGACGTGGTGGTGCCGATGCGTCCGGTTCTACAGCCAACGCTCGATTTCTTCATCTCTCGTTTGTGAAGCAGCGAATGAAGGATACGAGAAAAATAATAGTGATTTATTGAATAACTTACCAAGGCAAGACAACTAGGCGATTACTATATTCAAATACGTAACTGCGCTCTTGTCACTTTTGTACTTACACCCTCCTGTCCTCTTGTCCTCATTTTTTTTATTTTTTCAAAATTTTTTATCCGACCACTCGGTGAAAAGACACGATTCAATGAGCGTGATTGCCATTTTTTTCTTCAACATTTATTTTTTATAATTAATTATGAAACAAACAAACAAACAAAAAAATACAGATTTTTTTCTTTGAGAATTAAAGAGCAATCGCGTAGCGACTGATTTTTCACCGAGCGTCGATTCATTGGCTTTTTTCCAAACGATTGATTATGCATTTTTCTCCCGTATCCCCAATTTGCGCGTAATTCTTAAGTAAAAGCATTGTAAAGACTTTGTAGATTGTAACTTTTTGTAAAGAAGAAAAAAAAAAATAATAATTCAAATCTGTATATTTGTAGTAGCCGTGTACAATTATGATTAATTAATATTATAACGTATCATTATATTAAAGAAAATTGTAAATAGACAAATTGTCAATATAAATTGTCAAAAGAGCGACAGTGAACGATTAAAACGATACATTCAAAGATAATACATGCCTCTGTTTTCATTATTTTTTACCCTATAATTACTCACTCATTTATAAATAACAATCAATAATTTACGCTTTGGCGTTGTTTTTACAAGACTAAAGAAAAAAAAAAAAAAAAAAAAAAAAAACGAGCTTTTTGAAGCAATATTGATCCTCTCTGTTTACGAATAATACAGAGATCAAAGAAGAGAAAACACGAGTTTGTCGAGTCTAATTTGGGCGAGTTCGGGGCACGGCAGAGGAAGACCTCTACATACGTTACACCGACAGCCCCGAGCGCAAAGCTAACGAGTACATCAGGCCATTCATTTACTTCCCTCTATATAACTCCGATTCGTCGCGTACCGAACTTTATGGCTGTACTATTTTTATCGAAAACCGAAATTGGTCCATTGATCAAAATAACTTTTGTTGTTTTTTTTTGTGTTACAGCAATAAAAAACAGTTTTACGAGTTTGAAAAAATGTTTCAGTGATCGTTGCCAGAGTAAAAAGAAAGAAAGGAAGAAAAAAAAAAAAAAAAAAAAAACGTTAGGCAGAGGGTATAACGGAACAACTGGTGCTGTGCGTAACTTCCAGTTATGTTAATGGCTCGTTTCCATCGCCCTTATGGTCGCGATGCAGGCGACGTTGGCAAAAATACGATTCACGATACATATATGTACATATAATGCACGTGGCCTTATTTTTATTTATACAAATGTTTGACGGGGTTTTTTTTTTTTATCTATCATTCACGTACCTACACGTAAAATGTGCAATCGAATTTTGCGAAACAATGAAGGCACAGCTCGTGCGATGGATGTCTCTCTTTCTCGGCCCGCATCACGATCCCTATCTTTTTGGAGCGACGGTGTCTCACACACGCGCGAGCGTTTATAACGGGAAACGGCCCAATAATGTAAAATGTGACGGCGACAATGCAACGGAGGTTTTTGGCCCAAAGTTACCCTTTTTTTTTGCGTCACTCGCTGCAGGCCCGCAAACAGCGCAGTTTTTTTAACGCGTGCTCGGCATTTTTGCTCTTTTCCCTGATTCCCGAGCAACGTCCCAACGGAAGCTCACTTGCGAGCCTTTTTCGGCGTACGTATATACTTTTGACCGCGGACGTGCGCGTGATTTCATCACCGATGGCTCTCGCGAGTAGATAGATCGATGGATCCTTTCTGGAGCGCGTTATATATATTGGTGAAATAATGGTAATGTAAAGCACTTGCGAGTGTATACGTGGAAAAATTACACGGTGGAGCGGTGACGGCACGAAATTTCCGTGAAAGTCAAATAAGTTATACTTAACGAGTGAGCGTGCACGTGTATACATTATGTGCGCAAAGCTGGGGCCAAAGCTCACCCGAGAGAAAATCGGAACGAATGATGTATGTGTGTATTATTATTATATGCATACGTTGGTGTATGTATGTATATATATATGCGACATGCAGCTGTTCGCAACCTCCTCGTTGCGACGAGCGCTTTCACTTGGCCCTCGGGTCTCCCAGGCATCACGCGAATTTTGATGCCTACACAAGTACGATCGACCTCGGTATATTATGTAATGCTGTTCTAGGTAAAGGTACATTAGGCACGAATTTTAGGCTCCTACCTTTTTTTTGTTGCTGCCTTTTCTCTACGACGTTCTAAAAGTCACTTTTGAATCTTCGTATGATTTTAATTGGTCGATGAGAGATCTGTTGTTTACGGTGAGAATATCGGTAGGATTTTGTTGGAAACGTAATTTTAAGGTATGCTTATGTGTAAAATCACTAGGACTAAGGATGTCTTTAACCGATTTTGTCTATTCAGATCTCAAAAGTTTTATTTTCCCTTCCTGATTGCGGCTCTTTTTTTTTTTCAATTTTTATAAAACAGCACTTTTTTCTTTTTCTNCCTGTGCTGCCACCCTTGTGGCCACCTGCGGAAATTACTTAATATATGTAAACAAAGCCAAATCGTGTTGCAGAGATGCAGAGGTGGTAGCAAATTATTTTAATAAAACTAATTAATATTTATTATTATAAGAGTGACGAAATTGATGATTACGTATAAGAAAACGTACGTTCAATGAAAAAGAAGTATAATTTTTCTATATTCTATCTTATAACCGAGATAAAAATTAAGTTTTTTTTTTTTGAGGTTGTATGTTTTCAGTGATAAGCTGAATGAGATGTAAATTACCCTAATGATGTAAGAAATATCAAGAAATGAATCCGTGCATGTGCATGCATACCTTTCTTACATCATTAAGGTAATCTTCATCTCATTTGGCTTAACTATGAAAGTATACAACCTCAAAAAAAAAAAAAGTTGTATTTCACATATTTGAAAGGCAAAGACACGTCTGCTTTTGGCTTGGACACATGAAATGTGGGTGAATTTTGATAGGTTGGTAAGCTTTTACTGTGACGGCGATACACTTGAGCATCAAGTAAAATAGCGCTTCTTGTGCAATTCCGTGTGATGCTTGTCACGGTATACGCAGACCGCCTTATTGCGAGTCATGTGTACGCGTACAGGTAAGCCCACATGATATTGTTTTCATAATAAATCAATCACCTGTACTCGTATCCATATTATACGTACCACTTTAATTGCGACACGAATGTAACAAAAAAAAAAATAATAATCATAATTGTTGAGCATCATCAAAATAAAATTACCGATCTTCTCGGGATCGGCGAAAATCGCTGAGCTAAAAGATTTGTTGTTTCCCTTTCTAAACGTGAAAAAAACAAAAATAGATACACATTTCCCATGGATCGTAGAAACGTCGATACGTGCAATTATTGCAAGTTACAAGCGCGCAGGGGGGTACAAGAGATGTACATCCTTGGCCATCGCGAGAGGGTTTTTACGACAATTCGCAAAAAGAGCGAGGTATCTTGTGTAGGTTCCGGTGTGCGCGAAAGAATTTTTCACAGCTCCACGCGCAAAAGTGGATCTACGAATCGAGAGAAGAAGAAGAAAGAAACGAAAAAAAAAAAAAAAAAGTGCCAGACGACTCGGCGCTCTTGGGTTCGCAATAATAAAAAGAAATTTTCTCTCCCGTGGGAGAAAGAACAGGGAGAACATACACTGCACACTCACAAGCGTAAAAACCATCAGCCACGGAAGCGCGGAGTTTAATACGTACGTGGATATACAGATATATACACATTATCCACGTACCATAATATATGACTATACGTGTGCGCGTGCGGTAGTTGTGTGTGTGTATATATATAGGGAACAGAAGAGAAGAGAGTAGATTTCTCATAGGTACGAGGGAAGGAAGGGAGGAGAAGAGGAGGGGCAGGAAAAAAGAGGAGTAGTGTGTAGGCGAGGGAGGCATAAAAGCGCCTCACCGGCCGCCTCTGTATATACATGTACGTATAATCCTTCTATTTCTCTCTTTACTCGGGCGCTGGACATAGCTCGCGCACACGTGAATCGCCGGCCCCTCCGCTTTTTCTTTCTTTTCGTTTTTTTTATTTTTTTTATTTTTTTTTTTATTTTTTCTTCTCGGCCTGTACTTTCATTCCTTCCGCGATTCGTGCTTTTGCGCCACGCAACGCCGATCGAGCTCCTTCGAAATTTTCAAGACTGTTACTATATACCAACCTACCTATAATTGCGCGAAACTACGCCGGGAAGCTTTTTTTATTTCTTGCTATTATTTTCTTTTCCATACGCACCGCGTAAGGGTCTCACGGGGTATTTTAAACAGCGATCCGATATCTCCCTTATACCGATTTATCGGTAATTTCCAAAATCGGGTTTTTGCATATCGCCTGCGTAAAACTACAGCGAATTTGACGGTGCATTACAATTCCGTAACTTCGACACACACGGGAGCGAGTTTTGCAATAACTGGAACTTGAAACTGGACTGGAGTGCAGTGGCGGCAGTGCACCGAGTACGTAGCGGTATAGCGCAAAATATCAGTAACGTTACCCATGGAAGCGTAACGACGACGACTGGAGTGGTTCCGTTCCGCTTCCGTCCCTCGTACGTGATGGCTATAATATACCCCATCATTACATACACCCAAACATAATATATCGTACTTGTACAACTATAAGGAAGCAACGATGACAACAAGAAAACGTATCGAGTGTGCACAATATAAAATGCAGTGTTGACTTATGAATAAAGTTTTTATTATTTTTACACATCCAAATTCATGTAGTAATGTAGGAACACTTGAGAAAAACATCATGGGCGATGGCGGTGAGTCAGTTGAGCTTGGCCGTGTCATCGGGCTGGTGGTACCGGCCGGCAAACAAAATATCGTTCTTTTCCAGATCCAGCAGGAAAAACAGGAACGGCCTATCGGCGCGGAACCTCGTCGTCGTCGACCCCATGAGCGGTATCACCACGGCCTCTGAAAATGTTAATCGTCCCATTTTTTTTTTTTTTTTTTTTTTTTTTTGTCATCATCTACCCAATATCCCGTTTTCCCACCCCTTGCCATCCACCGATTGGAAAACATGTATTACCTGAAACGGCCGCGGCGATGGTGCCCTCCTCGTTGATTTCTATGTGCGCGTTGTGCATGAACGCCCCGACCTTTACACCTTTGCCGAGGAACGCCGCCGAAAGATCGGCATCATCGCCAAACAGACTTTTGATGTTCAGCTGCGGATAAGAATGAAATTTGTTACTTTTTTTTTCCCAAGAAAAAAAAAAAAAAAAAAAAAACCACATATAGGCACCTCCGACAGCTTGCCCTGCATGTTGAGTTTCGTGCCGATGCTGAATCGCGGTATCTGCAACAGGAGCTCGGTGTCCTGCATGGCCGCCAGGACGGACGATACCGGAGTGAAGGCCATGTCGCGCGACAGATCGGCCAGCGCTTGCATTCCCGTTTTCAGGGGCAGCAGCATCAGCATGCCCATTCGGCCCCCCTGAAAGTTGCACGTAGTTTTGTTTCACATACCTTGGTATTTACTTACTCGCGCCTTTTTTTCGTTTCTTCACTTACCGTGTAGGGGATGAACACGGCTTCGGACACGAGGGAGGGAACCACGGCGTACTTGTAATCGGCAACGATCTCCATCATCGCGACGTCCTTACAGCCCAAGTCTGGCACGTTGAAGCATCTCTTTCGCGTGTCGGCCTTGTCGAAGGCGTGCTCCCACTTGCCCTTGAAGTAAGCCGACGTCGTCAGCAGCAGATTCGTCGAGTCGGTTATGGAGCCTGAACGTGGATTTACAATTTTAGAAAGAGGGAAAAACAAAAAAATCGGCAAGTGGTGCGCGTACTTGGGTCCGTCAGGGAAGTTATGCGTCCGTGGGTGTACTTTGTAATCCACTCGTTAACGGCCTTGACCGTTGCCGTGGAGTTTGAAAAGTCCACCTTCTCGATCTCTCCACCGTAAAAACTGTGCACCGCGTTGCTGTAATTTTGACGTACGTCCACGTTCTTTCCCGTCCACAGTTTTATCGCCGTCTGCAGCTCCGTGTCACCGGTTGGGTCCTGAAAAAATTTTCAAAATCACTTTGACATACATCCGATGGTCGTTTGGGTTTTGCGTATATTACCTTGTAGTTGGTGGCAGTTAGATTGGATGCCTTTTTCGCTGTGTCCGAAAAATCGGTGATTCGCAGACTGGACAAGATTTCCTGCTGCGTCTTGCCGGTGGCTGCCTCGGCGAGGACTACCAGCGCCGCTTTGACGGTGCTCGTGCCGATCACCACGTTACCGGGCTGGGCTTCGTTCACTTGCTGAACATCCGATCCAAGCTCAATTTATTTAGTACCGATTTTTTTTCTTTTTCATTTCAAGTATTGAATAATCGCATGTCATGTTATACGTACTTGCAACAGCTCGATGTTGAAGTAATTGGTGCGCTCGATTCGGCCGGTACCTACTGCAGAAGTAAATATAATCAAAATTGCGTTTGAAAAAATGTGAGTTTAAAAATTTTCCTCAAACTTATGTACATCATCACTCGAAAGCTTCGGCGAGAACCGCAGACGAGGTTTATTGTGCATTTAAACAGATGTTTCAAATTTTAATTATAATTTAATTCGGTTGGTTTTGAATAAGTTGTTATTATTCTTTTTTTTCGAATAAAAAGAAACAACAACGTGATTCGCAAGATGAGATATTATCTGCGAAAAAAGCAATTATTGACAAGACTCACGAGGTAATTTAATTTATTGCTTGCTTTCGATGCGTGTACTGTTAGAAACGGTTGTAAAAATAAAAACACGAGGAGAACATAGAATCGTGACGGTTGGGTTATTCCATCGAATGAGTAATAATTAGTGACGGGAAAGAAAATATTGCTAAAATTTCCGAGTATCCGAGAAAAATCGGATCTCCTGATATTCGTTAATCATAACAAAGCACCTTATCAATTTTTAATATCAAAAAGACATGCTGTTGCGTGTTGTGGGTCAGACTTGGATACAATCGTTTTATGGATTTTTAAGCACTTTGAAATAAATATTTTTTCGTGCATAATGTGCATTCAATTTGATGAACAAATTTGTTATTTATTACTGCTCACAATACAAAACTGAGAAAACTGTTTTTTCCCTCTGAGATAAAGGTAATACATTTTAGATATTAAGCTTCACTGTAAAGTATTTCATTTAAATTATTTAAACGCTTCAAATCATTTTATTTTTTATTTACTTTTTTTTTCAAATGGTAATGGACTGTTTTGATTGGAAAAATGTTGTCAAGCACAGTGTTTTAGAATAATTAATGCATTAAATTTGGCAAAAAAAAAAATGATATAAAAAAAAAATTTTTTAAACATCCTTGCCCAAGTCTTGTTGCAATAAGTACCAGCATCGGTGCAGATGACCCCGATGATTGCGATGGAAATTAATAGCGGTGCCATTTCGCGCTCGAGCACACGTAATTGAATATTGTAATGTAATCAAAGGAAAGAGACTTAGGCAATAATAATACATCGATGACTTTATATTTATACACAGGCCGAGCATTTTCGATAATAGTTGATCTGCTTGATGCGTCTTAAATTACGTGTTTTCCGAATCATATAAGCTTCATTGTTATTTATATCGGTGTACTGTATACTAAAACTGTGATGTTTGTTCGTAAAGTACAATGCATGGATACTTTGTCTTAGAATTTTATTTTCAAGATGTAATGCATAATGCATCGTTTGGATTAAAAATCTGGTTTTTTTTTGTTTATTAGTTGTTACAAAACAGTAACATGAAGGAAAAAAAGATGCGTTCGACTTTAAGGAGAATTTAAAATTCAAATACTCGAATGATAAATTTTATTGTCTAAAAATGTATTTTATCTTAGAAAAAGTTTTATTGAGAGTTTATTTTCTTTCTGTAAGAAATTTAATTCACTTTATGCCCAAATCTGATTGTGTACCAAAAGTATACTTTACGCATCAAGCAAACGTTGTTTGTACACGGATAACAAAGATGACTTTGGGATCTCGTGCGAAGGACGGAAACAACATAACTTCGCGTCACCCGATTTGAAAACGCTAATTTAAATACGCTATTTCACCGCGTGGAAACACTGTACACCTGCCACGGTACTCTCGGGGTCATTGGCTTTTTTTTTTTACGTAACGATTTATTTACACCGGTACGAGTATCCATGCCTCTATAGCGTTTGTCGCGAGGGAAGCTGTTGCTCCGCGCGTGTTATTATCACCATCATCATTTCAGGCCCTCGGAATCTCAGCTCTGAATATTCATGTATTTTTAACGGAGACGTCTTATTCATAGTCGATTCGCGTCACGGCAATCTGTAAATAAACGACTTCGGTCGATTAAAATCCATTAAATCACGCGCTCGTACAGAAAAAAAAAAAAAAAAAAAAAAAAGTCGTACATTACAGATACGCGAGGAGAACCGAACACGATCGTCGAGCTTTTATTTTTCACTCGGTCGAGCACGTGTACACACACGCCCATAGGTGAAAATATAAATGAAGAAAAAAATAACATCCAAGTGTAATCGGCTACCTGCTGCAGATGTAGGAGCGGCTGGGATTTTCAAATTCATGGGGGCCATTGGCGTTGGCTCGGTCGACACTTTGGCCATTCCGGTTTTCTCCGACGAATTATCCACACCCATGTATGTGCCCATGTATAAAATCGTGCCCGTGCTCTCGTCCTTGATGTAAAAGACAAACGGATGGGTCGCGTGGAAGGTCTCGTCGTTCATCTTGGTGCCGATTTCGATTTCTGAAAAAATCGTTTTTTATCAGCTGTATGAGTTTGTTTAGTAACAAGTAACGAAAAAATCGAGTCGTTGAATAATTGCTATTAGTTGGTAATTCTACATACGTATTACATACGGAGGCTATTAATTTCATCACAGTATACTCGCCTCGATCGGGCGAGACGGGTAATTTTCAAAACAATTATCTCCAAGAAGCATTTTTTTCCGCACAGGAATGAAAATTTGTTGTCTTTTTTATTCTTATTTTTTTTTTTTTTAAGCAATTGACTTTGTTCGGAGGAAAGAAACGCGCACTCGAGCGTTCAATGTCATCAAATTTCTTTTCTTTTTTTTTTTTACAACAGTGACAAAATATGTATGCACAGGCAACGCCGATCCTTATCTCGTTGTTTGTCTCGATTAAACAGAAAGAACAGTCTCTGTCTCTCTTACCCGTGGCGGTGTAAGCCGTCGAGCCCTGCTCGTTAACCTCGATCCCGGACTTTTGCAGGATGTCGTTGACAACCAGGGGCCTGGACGTCGACTTGGAGCGCAATATACCGGTCAGCGTGGCCGTTTCGTCGAAGATTTCATTGATGCCCAGCTGAAAACAATACAATTACCGGCCCACTGTTCACACGTTCCAACAGTCACGAGGTATACGTGTTTGTTATTACTCGTTACCTCGCGGAGAGCGTCCTCCATGTGGCTGGTAAAGTCGAACTTGAATTTCGGAAGTCGCACGTCGACCGGTATCTCTTGCATGAGCCACTCGTACTCGCTCATCTTGTCCGGCTGGATTTTGCCCACCAGGTCGCTCAAATTGCCAGGTTGTTGGGGCAGAATGACGAACATCGAGTACTTGTGGCCCTTCACGATCAAACCGACCCAAAACGTTTGTCATCATTTCTATCATTGTTTTTTTGTCTTAGGTACCATAATCGCGCGCTCACCGCGTAGGGCAGCCGAAGGATCTTCGAGTCCAGGTCCTTGATGAATCCCAGGTACAATTTCTTGGTCGACATCATGTAGGGTACCTGCACGCTCTGGCCGGTGGCCGTGTGGAACTCGGCGCTCCTGGTGTGGCTGGCGTCGAACGGCTGCCGGTACCATTGTCCCTTGAAGTACAGCGCGTTCACGATCACCATCAGACTGTCCCGCAGCGTTTCGTCTGTTTACACGGATACGTTGTACGATGATAAATCGTCAATGTGCTACATCATACATTATACATGTGTACAGTTATTCTCCCCCTCCCCCTCCCCCCGAATTAGCATTTGAATCACCATTGGTAATGAGCCGCGGGATGTGTCCTTCGGTGACGTTGTTCACGAAAGAGTTGATTTTTTCGGCCGTGGCTGGCGAGTTCGAGAAGTTGGCGTTGAGCACTTGGGCCTTGTAAAACGTCTCGGCCGTCGCCACGTAGCGCTGCCTCAGCGTGACGCTGTGGTCCACGTAGAAGCGGCTCCCAAAGTTCAGAGAAAACTCGGGTCTTTTCTCCTTTGCAAGGCAACAACGGGTATATATTATGTGTCACACATTGTACGCATACAGCTGAGCGGGTACATATGAATATAATTTACCTTCATGGACTTGAGCACATTGGCGAACCTGTCGCGCGTCTTTAGCTTGTCGTCGGTGATGTTCATGGCGGTGGCGAGCTCCCGGGCTGTGTTATTGTCCGCGCCCTCGTACAGCAGGACCAGCGCGAATTTCAGGGAAATCGGCGAAACCAGTAAGCTCCCGCTGCTGCGTTTGGCCAAACTCTACGCCAACGAGAGACAATGGTATATATATATATATAGCATTGAGCAAGTGCAGAGGAGGAGGAGCCTCAAAATATGAAAGGGCCGATCTTACCTGGAAGAGCCTCCAGTCGAAGTGGTCGTACCTCTTGCCCTGGTACGGAACAAAGTCGTCGACGTCGTCGATGGGCCTCGGGCTCGAGCTGCCCTTGTCGGTGTCGACGCTCCTCCTCCGCCCGGCTGACGCGCTCGTCACCGAGCCCACCAGGACCACCAGGACCACCAGCCATCCTGTTGCAACTTTTTTTTTTTTTTTCAGTCCAGGGCATACCGATTTTTTTTTCTTTTTCCACCGATCGCGTATACCGAGTCTTATCACAAACGTAAACAAACTGAGGGCGCGTGTGTACGGAAAAGACGCGAGAGTTGTAAACGTCGTTAGATAACGCGAGCACACGGTGTGAAAGTTATCGCATCGCCGGGATTTCACCGAAAAGGTCAACGGTACGATCGTACAACTGTGTACTTATGAATTACGTGATGTTATTAGAGCGAGAGGCGGAATGACGAAAGAGCAAAGAGAATCTGGAATTCCGGTTGCGGTGAAAATATAGAGATAAACGAGTTTGCGCGATCAAAGTCAATACAAGTACCTAATTGAGAAAAAAAAAAAAAAAAAAACAATGAAAATTAATCGCCGTCGCGTTGGTATGGGTTGAGCGAGGTGTTGCGCGCGTTGTGGCCTTGAACGGTATGGATCATAGGATGATCCTTTTTTATCGCGTGGATCGTAGCACGCGTACGTATAGCGAAACTTTTTGGAAAACTCTTACGGTCACTTTTGATTAAAACTTGTACAGAGTTGATGGAAAAACAAAAATTCACTGACCTGCTCGTCTTTTTTGCCTCGATAGCGTTGACATCGTTCTTTTTTTTTTTTTTTTTTTTTCTTTCTTTCTTGAAGAAGAAGGAAAAAAAGTATGTTTACTTGATACACTTGCGATAATACTGTAGAGGCGAGCTCTCGGAGCCGTGCGACTCGAACAAGAGCGTGCGCTCGACAGGCGCTTGTCTGATGCTGCGAATCACGTACAGCCGGTCGCTTAGAAAATATATAAGAGGAGGAGGTGGAGACCGGGATTGGTTGTCGCGGCAGCCGAGCGGGCCGCTAATCATGTCCGCGTCTTTTTCGATGATTGTATACATCTCATTGAGATATGTTTTTTTTTTTTTCCTTCCTCTTAAGATTTTCTTTTACGAGGTTTTTTGGAAATCGGCGGTAATTTTATGCTCACGTGTGAGATAAATCGGTAAAATCAAGTTATCCGTGGTTTCGGTACGAGGAAATGTACAGTGTTGAATATTTACACATTTCATGAATGTTACCCAGTGTTGAAAAAATGGCTAATTTTTTTTTTTTTTTTTTTTTTTTTACTGTGTAACCGTTGTCCAAAGTCCAACCGATTTCGAGTCGAATCAAACAAATTCTCCAAAATCTTGCAGGTGTAGATCATTTTATTATTCGTCATATGTTAAAAAAAGTGATAAAATTGTTTTTTCTTTCAAATATTTACTCTTATAAATTTATAAATAGGATTACTGCTTGGTGTAAGTATATTTTGGAGCGAAACTATAAAGAGCAGCGATATATTGTTTTACCTTTGAATTCTTCTCGAAAGTGTTTTCGAAGAATCTCGGAATAAGAAAAGTTGAAGTAAATAATCAATCAATTAAATAATAACCAAACAGATGAATGAAAATATCGTGATTGAAGCGCGAGAAAAAGCTTTAATTGCAATTTTTGCCACATTCAATAAGTTAAAGTCGATTTGAAAAAACCAAAAATGAGCTTGCTTTTTTTCTGGTAAGTATTGGAGCGTGATTGATGTGGGTTTGACCATATATAGCTTTTGTTTCGTAAGTGTGTAAACAGTTGATTCATCGGAACTTTTTTATTGCAATCTTCGTTGTGATATGCTGACACTTATTGCACTTAGATAAAACTGAAAACTATATTACCAACGAGCTTCGATTATAATTAAATCGAAAAAATGTACTAATTTGAATTTTTTTTATGTTACGAACAAAGCTATGAAAATTTAGGGCAAATTTTTTAAATTTTCACCGGCGTCTTATTGAAAATTTGTCTAAAAAATCGAAGTACGTAATATATCCAGAGTTGGGCACATAAATCTATTCAATTTTTTTGCAATTTAATTGTTTTTTAGTGCAATGTATTACTAACGATAAAACTTTTTTTTAAATACGATCCATTAAAACTTGAAAGAAAAAAAAGTCAAATAATTGCAAAAGTACTGAAATACGTAATGATTTGCATTCATCCGAGAAAAAAAATTTTTTTTTCTTCATTTATTATTGTTAACAATACTTACCAACTAAAAAAAATTTTCCGCAAAAATGATGCACTGTAATAAAAACTTTTTCCAAATTACCTGAAAGTTTAGAAAAAATTGTTCCCAAGTTTTCATCAAGTTAAAAATACATTATATTCGACTAAAATTCATAAGAAAAACAAATTTCTATGATTTTAAAAAATAAGCGTGTAGACTCTAGGAATCGCAATATCAATGACCTCCCCGTTTCATCTATGTTGTGTGCGCTTACATTGTGTTTACGCACATACAACGTACGTCATATAAAAAAATTGAAAAGATAAATCTTACGCCATACCAAGTACGCGTGGGTGTACTTAAAAAAAAAAAATTTGAAAAAATTTCCATCCCACATACGGAAACAAATAAAAGTATCCTCGTTAAAAATTTTTCGTAACAACCATCGAGTTGCGTAACAATACTTTCCCGTGCTCTCTCAACTTATATTCATCGAGGCATCTGCGCGTTCATAGGAAACTTACAGCGAGATTAATTAATTACATGTGGACGCTGACGGGGAGAGCGACGTATACACATCTTTCTCTATGCAAACAACAGATAAATCAGTCTATCTTCCCATTTATATGTATATACGTGTTCGTGTACTTACAGCTGCGGGAAAATGAAAATATTTTTGTTTTCGTGGTTTTCTTTTAAGATATTACGCGGCACCCCTTAAAATATAAAGTATCGTGTCGCTCAGGCTATTAGGAACAACAAGAGAAAGAGAAGAAAAAAAAAAACAACGGCTAAACTGCAACGGACGAGCACTTGCCAACTAAGCCTCCACTCTGGCGTAATATATAAAAGTAAAAAACAACTGTTTGTCCATGTGTGCGCGCTTGATGAACGCACGCGAGGAGGAGCCGCCGCCTTCGCGGAGAGAGAGAGAAATGAGGTTGAGCCTTTGTAAGTTTCAGTTTTAGTCCAGCCGCGGCTCGTTGCACCGGCAATAGTTGCGCAGTGCCAATTTTATTTTATTTTTTTGCTGATTTTCCGCGCCTTTTCGCGGACTCCACTCGATTTTTCTCATCGAAAAAAAAAAAAAGGGGGCGAGATGCCACGATCGGCTTTTGTCGGAGCCGTAGCGGTGCTCTTGGTAGCTCTGGCCGCAGTCGACGCTGCTCCGAAATCTTCTTGCTTGAAGAGCAAACTGGACGTAAGTCAATGCTATCATACTATATACGCTTGTTTCGAAACTCAAAGCGTGACTTTTTCTCAATAACAAAACCGCGTACACCAGACATATTTTATACCGTACCGATCGGTATAGATCTTGGGCGCGCTCGTACAATATATTTATACACGTACTCACGGGGATCCCGAAAATGATTAAATTCACCAAAAATTTGTATCCAACGTGTATCGTATTGTTTCGCACACATTTGATTAAAGAGAAAGCGCTCATGGAGGCGCAACAGAAATATATTCGTGTCTTTTGCAAAAATGGAAGGAAAAAAAAGGTTTTTTCTTTAAACCCAATGCCGAAGCATAATCCGCGACCTTCTGCCTATGTTGCGTGTGCAGTCATTATATTCATTAAAAATTAATATGGTGTGCTACCGCTGCTTCGATCAATTATGTTACACAACAAAGTGTAAAAAAAAAAAAAAAAAAAAAAAGCCACTTACAAGTGATTATTATACATAGTATGCATATTGTATTTATTTAAACTGTGTAATGTATTCATATAGTTGTAAAAGTATGTATATATATAAAGATTTATGAAAATGTTGTTGATTCGACAGTGCGTCCATAGCACGGACTGCTGTTCGGGATGCTGCTCGGAAAACAAGTGCGTCGAATGTAAGTGAGGACAGTAATAAACGTTATCATTGGTAAAAAAATAATTTAAGAAAAAAAAAAAAAAAAAAAAACCCACAGATGCAGAGTCCTGTCAGAGAGACCTGGCCAAATTGGGTGCAGGCAAGGGCGGCCCGTGCGCTAGTCTTGACCCTCCGTGCAAGCCGTCCTACACGTGTGTCCTGCAACAGGCCCTGTGCTCCAACTCGCCGTGCAAGCCCGTACCAACGTGTGTCCCACCGGATTACCACGATTACGACTAGAAAAATGCATCTCCAACGCTGTTTTCCATATACACCCTGCATGCACTTTGTGTTTTTACGAAGCTATATATACCACATGTACCTATATCGTCTTATTATTTACAACCCCACTGCTGATCGCAGAAAATTGTAGTACGTAAGTTTAGCACGTATAGCTGTTGCACGTTTGCATTTATATTTTCTTACAAGTGTAATACATATACATATATTTTTTTCAAGAGATAATAAAGAGATTTGAGAAATCCATGCGTTTTTAATAATACATCTTTTTTGTTCTCCAAGTTATAATTACATTGTGCACACTCGAGAAAACGAGTGTCAAAGTATACGCATCAGATTTACGAGTATCATTTATTTACAATCTACATACATTACGAAATTAATGAAGAAGAATACCGAAAAATATAGATCATGAAAAAATATTGGCCTCGGGTATTTTTTCCGTACGATTAAAATTTGTGAACAATTGAGTGCAGTGACTTGTAAAGTCATATCAATTTCATGCAGAAAAAAAAGTTACTTTGTTTACGTGAGGAAAACATGGTGTCGAATGTAATCTATGAACTTTATGTGTACGTTAGAATCGGTGCTCTTCGTTACAGTACAGGTACATTTATTAGTATAACAGAGAAAAAACTACAGTTGTAACTAACGTAATTAAAATTAAATACAATTATTGTTATTTATAGCGTGAGGATTTAGTACATGAGTATTTATTTTTCGAGCTACGCCATAAAGTTTTTTTTTTTTCAACAATACAAACAAAGTATTGAGATTATTTTTCCTTCGATGCAATTTCACACTAAACGCGAATAAAAACGTTCTTGTTTAAAAGTCAAGAGCTGATAAATTCGAGCTCGATAGGTTGTGAATTTTTAAATAATGGCGCGAAAAATATGGGCGTGTCTCTGTGCTCCACTGCTCTGTTTGCGCCCCTTTCGCGTCGTCCGCAATAAAAATATATACACGAGTGACATGACAGACCGATCGGAGCTATTTATATTTTGGAGTTGTGATAAGAATATCACAAGTGATTCTATACGACAGAATTAAAAACAAATTGTATCGTGTAAGTGTATATGTACAAATATTTTTCTACACTTTCGTACATACAGGTTTTGTACTCGATCAAGAAACGTCAATTTCAAAAACATCACATTTAACCTTATCGTGTGTAAATCATTTGTAAATTAATTTTTGTAAAAGTTCATTGTAGACTTTTTTAGAAAATCTGACAGTCGCTGACCATGGCTCTTGTAGATCAATCTCTCGATCTGAATAGAGGTAAAACCAACTGCAATTAGTTTTTTTTTAACAGCAAGACTAAGTTGTCCTTTCTTTTTGTAGATATCAAAAGGTCCATCGAACTACTAGAAAAGTTACAAAAGAGTAAGTTACAACATTAATCTAGATCTATGTTATATTTCACATTCAATTTGTGGCTGTCATTGCATCGTATTTTTTTGTTTAGGTGGGGAAATTCCAGTGACAAAACTGGCTGCCCTGCAAAAGGTTTTACAGAGCGATTTTTTGCACGCTGTTAGGGAAGTTTATGAGCACATTTACGATACCATTGACATTCAAGTAGGTAATCTTTTTTGCAATGCTGCTAGTAAAATACGTACATAAGATTATTAAATTTAAGAAATATCCGATTAAGGGTTCCCAAGATGTGAGAGCTTCAGCAACTGCCAAAGCCACTGTGGCTACATTTGCTGCCAGCGAGGGCCATGCACATCCCAGAGTTGTTGAATTACCAAAAACTGATGAAGGTCTTGGATTTAACGTTATGGGAGGAAAAGAACAAAATTCACCTATTTATATATCAAGAATTATTCCTGGTGGAGTGGCTGATAGGCATGGAGGCCTCAAACGAGGTGATCAGTTACTGTCCGTCAATGGAGTGGTAAATTTCTCATAATAAAAACTCATTAATGCTCAATTGAACGTTGAATAATTACTCTCGTAATAATAATTTCAGTGCGTTGAAGGAGAAAATCACGAAAAAGCCGTAGAATTATTGAAACAAGCACAAAATTCTGTAAAACTCGTCGTTCGTTACACCCCAAGAGTTTTGGAGGAAATGGAATTGCGTTTTGACAAGCAAAGAACAGCCAGAAGACGCCAAAATGTTCAGTAAAGAGTATTAATGAAGTATATACTACATTCTTTGTAATTAAGAAATTCATGCACATATGGATGTATTATTGCATCTTTTTATTATTACTCACAAAAAAATCACTAGAATTATTTATTCGTTTCTAACAATATTATGATTTATTTGAAAAATGATCTTTATTTGTAACTATTTGTACTTAAGTTTTTTTTGAACTTGGGAATAAAACACAATATTTTCAATACTTTAAAACAAGCGTGAATTTTTAATTAAGTTTGTCTATAAAATATTTAATAATAAAATGGTATTATAAACCTGTGGAGGTAAAGCGTTTGAAAATGAAACCAAATTATCCAACTTAAAGTTTTTTAAAGTTTTTTTTCATAGCTACATAAATAGCCCCACAGTGTCACAGCTGTATATATCTCTAGTGCACGTGTGTGGGTTTATGTGTGGAACTCTATATTCAGTAGCCAGTGCGCTCGAAGGGCTCTCGATGATAAGTATAACATTTTCCAATTTCCACGGAAAATGCTGACGGCCACTGCCTTTACAAACCGTACTTAAAAGGAATAGTTGTAAATAAACCGAGGGTGTGCAGGTATTCGTTAATGAAATGGAACTAATGGCAAGTTCGAGACAAACAAAACTTTACTGTTCACGTTATTGAAACTCACGAATTTGACTCGCTACATCGCCTATTTTCTACTTTGCATGTGTCTCCATTCATTGTTTAACGATGGTTTCGTTGTCCAGACTTTTGTTTTTTATCATCTGCTGTGGTAAGTAAACATCAAAAAACACGTAAACAAACTGCGTATACACATTAATTCATAACCTTTATCTTGCATGTAAATGTTACCGATCGATAATATCGACGCTAGAATGCGTTTTTTTGTGACTTTCATTTTTGGAGCAACGAGTAAAATATAACGTACTCTACTTTCCAACTGTGTATTTATAGAACAACTAAAATTCTCATTCATAATTTCTCTTATTGCAAGAAAGTATTTTTTTTAATGGTCTGTTAATTGCTTGGTTTTTGATATTTGTTACAGTACTAGCCAATGTTGCAATAGGATCTCGAGTTTTGGAACTTAGTGATAAGTATGTGGTCAAAAGTTATGCTGATTAAAATTAGGTCTTATAACATTCTAATTCTTCAAAATTAATTACAGATTTTTGGAAATACATAAGGAAGGGCAATGGCTTGTGATGGTAAAAATATCAACGTAAAAGAAATAAGTTATAATATGTAATTGACCTTTTTTAAATGTTCTCAGATGTATGCACCATGGTGTGCTCACTGCAAAAGATTAGAACCGATATGGGCTCATGTTGCTCAGTACCTTCACTCATCTCCTGTCGGAGTTGGCAGAATAGATTGCACTCGCTTTACAAAGGTTGCTCATTCTTTCAAAATCAAAGGATTCCCTACAATAATATTGTAAGCACTTGTTTCTTTGATTATCTGATGTTTTCAATGGCTCATAATATCAAAAGTTTCGTTTATTCAGCTTAAAAGGAGACCAAGAATTTGTTTACAATGGAGATAGAACGAGGGATGAAATAGTTAAATTTGCTCTTAGACTCAGTGGACCACCAGTGCAAGAAGTAACCAAGACTATAAGTTTTAACACTTTGAAAAAAGATAGAGACTTGTATTTTTTATACGTTGGTGAAAGATCTGGAACATTATGGGTAATTAACTTTTTAGGTAAAAGTAATTTATTGACACATGATCCATCTCGATTTTATTTAACTGCAGGATATGTATCATGAAGTTGCTAACCAATTCCAGCCACATGCATTTTTTTATCAATCTCATCCAGTAGTAGTTGATAAACATGCTCCAATAGAAAGTACACCCGCACTTTTTGTATATAAAGAAAACGTACATTACAATTTTACAGGTACACAAAATATTTGGATGAATATTAATTCAATGTAAATTAATTTACGTAAATGTTATTTTGTAATGTTTAGGTCATAGCGCAATAACAGACGCTGATCAATTGAATGAAACTTTGTATAGATGGATCAATGCTGAACGCTTTCCTACATTCCCTAAGGTCACGCGCGGAAACATTAATCAACTTTTTTTAACAAACAAAAATCTAGTCTTAGCAGTAGTCGAAGAAAACCAACTAGAAGAAATTCCACCTGATATGTTGGAGTTTCGAGATATGGTTGAATCTGTGATCAAAAGGAAACGTGAAAAATACCATGAGTAAACGAACACCTACATATTTAATTTGATTCATATCTTAAGAATTTCAAAAAATTGAATTTTTTTTTCAATTTTTTTAGCCATTTCCAGTTTGGTTGGATAGCCAATCCTGACCTAGTCAATAGTATAGCAATGATGGTTGTACCATTACCAAGTTTGATTGTCATTAATTCAACGACAAATCATCACTACATTCCAGAAGATGAGCCAGAAAAGTTAACACCTGATGTGATTGAAACGTTCCTAGAACAAATAAGAAGTGAAAGCGTCCCTGTAAGATATTTCACACATCTAAATTGTCAATTTCTTCAACTGTTTGTGGTAACTTTTAATCGAATATTTTTTAGAAATATGGTGGAAACAGTTTTGCTGTGAGAATATATCGGTCATGGTTTGAAGTCCGATCTGCTCTTGCATCAATGTGGTATGGTAATCCAATTCTGACATTGGTCTTGTTTGGCTTGCCTGCTGGATTCTTATCACTTATTTGCTACAATATCTGGTGTCCAGATATCTTTGATGCCGATGACGATGAAAAAGGTAAGAAATAAACTTTAGAGACTGGAAATTTTTTTAAATAATTTATTTTTATCATCTTTTAGAATCCACGGGATCGAGTCACATAAAAAAAGACTAGATTATGCTTGTCAAGCAAAAAATGTTAACGTTCTAAAAGTGATAAAAATAGCCATTGTTACAAATTCAATAATTCTAACATAAACCATTACTTTTTTTAAGTTTATTACAAGAAAATGTTTGTGTAAATGTGCAAATGTGTAATGCTGCGTATTATGAAAGCGTAATGATATTAATGATTAGAATTACTAATAAAGTTTTAATGAACTTGTGTAAAAACTGAATAATCATTTCTCATCCTCCATGACATCTTCAAGTAATGTTATAAGAAAACAAATCTTAACACAGTCTGTAAGAGACTTCCATTTGACAAGCCAATATTATTGGAGCGAGACTTATTTAATGTTACAAGTCATCATCAGAATCCAAAGCTGCTCTGCGCCTATCAAACTAAAAATGTATACATAATCATTAGTTTACTTATTTAAATTCATTTGGATTTAATTTTGTTCTACAATTAGCATTGAACTTACTTTAACAACTGGAGTCTTTTGTGTAGTTTGTTTGTTTATCGATTCTAGAATCTTAATTAATTCTGACTCTCCAAGTTTACTTGAAATTTGTCCTCTGTTAGCCATAGCCAATATCATGTTTTCCACCATTTTTCCTTTTTCTGGCTTTCCCAAAGATAACGTATTTACTAGATAAAATTTAGTTTGTAAATAAAAAAACGTACACGTCTATTAAAAAAAAATTTCAGTGGACATACATCTTGCTCTGGCATTTTGATCAAGTACTTGGCTGAGCATCATGTTTTTCATTTCTTCCATTTGTTGTTGTTTTTCCTGTACCGCTTGTTGATTGCTGGCATTGTCACCCTTGGATAAAAAATATTTTTTAATTAACAAACTTTAGATTGTTTCACAGTTGAGTAACGTATAACCTCAAAAAAAAAAAATGTGTCCACATCAAAATTTACGAGAACTTTGATAATAAAAAATAACTATGAAAACTTTAAAAGTAAAAAAAGTTTTGACATGCATCAAATTTTTCATCATTTAGCGTCTGTATCCACTGGTTTCGCATAAGACTTTGAAATTTTACAATGCGTTTATATGTTTTTCTACACTACCTTGTACTGCGATTGCAATTGTGCTAATCGCTGTTTCCGCAGTTCTTCTAACTCTGCATCTCCCATTGTCTTAATTTATTATATATTCAACTAGACAAGTAACAACTTTTAATAATACTAGTTTTTGTTAGCTCCCTTTTTTTTTTATACTACACATAAATCACTGACACTTGACTCCGAACTTAACTACTGGTGAGATATTGCGGAATACCCCAACCACGCAACGTTGTTTCCACGGTACATATAAGTATGTAACTGGCTGGCAGCGGTTGCGGAATCACCCTGTGGTGTACCATTCCAGCGTTCCTATGTTATTGGGTCATGGGGTTTCACCATTCCAACGTTTTTGTGTTATAGGGTTTGTGGGCTATACCATTCCACCGTTCCTGTATTATTAGGTCATGGGGTTATACCACTACACCGTTCCTATGTTATTGAGTAATTGAGTTATACTATTCCGTCGTTCCTGTTTATTGGATCATGTGTGGTCAAACCATTCTACCGTTCCTGCTTTATTGGGTTAAATGGGGTCATACCATTCCGCCGTTCCTGTTTCATTGGGTCGTTGGGTTTTACTATTCCAATGTTTCTGTGTTATACTATCTCGTTTCTGTATTCTGTGGGTGTATAATCTGTTGTCACCACTAGGCACCAGCCAGTTAAATATGTAAGACTTATGTAGAAAAAAGTCATAACAACGTTGCGTGGTTGGGGGCGCTGTTGTCAATTTACTGGGTACAGAATTGGAAATTTTGAGTAATCTGAAAAAAGACAAGTCTGTTTTTGTTCTATTATACCAATAGTAGATTGACCATTGCTTCTACACATTTTCTATCAGCAGACAGTAATTTTACTTCGATCGTAGCAAAAAAAGTCTAGTACGTGAGTAGTAAAATTACAATGTTCAGCATTGGTCGGATGTTTTCGAATGCGGCACGTTGTTAAATTATAACAATGGTAGTATACTAACGTGAAAATTTGTAAGTTTACTAGTCCGTGATATTTTTACGTTGCTGGGTATAGTATATTTTCATAAGTGGACTCGTATTTCTACGATTGTATTTTTTACAGTGTAGTTGAATAGCAAATTACATTGGTCTCCCTGATCTTTTTTGTGACTTTTGTGATCGTATAAACATTTAAAGCAGATGGCAAAACGTATGAAAATGTCACGAAAAAGTGCACGTACTTATAGACCAACGTTATCTGCTGTTCTACTGTATCAGTGGGCACGATCGATTTTCATCGTTCGTTCGTTTCGTTCGTTTTGCTTGTGCAGTTCGCTTATATCTACTAAGTGAATTCAGACATTTTGTAATCATTGGCTTGGGTCATCCACTTCTGGGAATAATAATAGTAGCCAACTTTCACAAAAGTTCTAAATTGTTGTTTTTTATATTAATATGTAAGCTTATTTTAAAATAGACACCACGTCTAACGAGCATAAGAAACGACTGAACAGCACAAACTGTACAAGCGAAACGAACGAAACGAACGAACCGAACGAACGAACGATGGAAATCGAACGTGCCCATTAGATTCGTTCAAGCCCGTTTTGGTTCGGTTCCCAACAGGGAACCAAAGGGAAATAAACAGAACTGGTTCTGGACTTCTGTATATATAGGTATATTTTGTTAAGAGAACCGAACCGGACCAAAAGTGGCTCGTGGCTTGAACAAACTAGTGGTAAGTGTAAATTAGAGTAAATCGACAGTAGCGCCCCGAACCACGTAAGGGAGCTTGTACATGGGTGTCTGAATGTCTTAAGGGTGAGATTACATGGAGTCTGGCAGTCTGCAGACTGGCAGAATCGCGCTAAGTTTAAATTACGTTTAAATTATAACATCTCTGAATAATTTAATAAAATAAAGAAAAAATTGTAATTATTGTCATAACAGAATAAAGGCTTAGTTACAATCAATTTCATTTACAATAAAACGTGTCAAATATTATTTTATAACTTTTTTTATAGATTTATGTTAACATCGCACAGTCGGTCAGTAGGGTCACTGATGTAACCTGGTATGTATAACAATATGTAACTGTGACAAAACGTTTTTCGTCGCCTTTTTTTTCATAAATATTAGTTAATACAGAAATGCAAATGTATTACGATAATTATTTCTTTGCTTACGTAACAG